CCAAATTCTGCCTTGACCAGCTCTAAGGAGATTCTGACTCAGGTTGGAAGAACAAATGAGTCTTTTTTTCTTTTTAAAGAATTATTTTATTTAACTTTATTTATTTATTTATTTTAATTTGACCAGAGAGGGACAGAGAGGGAACGTGGAAAGCAAGTCGCCAGGTTTGGGACTCGAATCCAGCACTCTTAATCACTATGCCACCTGCCATCCCCAGAACATGTCTTAACTGTGGGCACAGGGAGTGGAGGAAAAGGCAACCAGAGCGCTCCGAGGTAATCTATCCTCACTACTTTCCAAGCTTATCCACGAGGCCAAATACCACCTCTTGTCTGGATGTTTCCAGGTTGTTCCATTCTATGCCCACAGCTGGAAGAACTATTCATCTCTAAAATGCCATGGTTACCTCTCATGGCACTTAGCTCTCCCGTGCTGTTTTGTGTGACCCTGTGTGTTTTCCTCTTTATCCTCTTAGATTTAAAATTCTCTGAGAACAGAATGTGTCTCTGATACATTCTCTTTGTAATACACCTTCCCCTAGACAAGTGTACTGCTTCCCATATGATCCTAGGACTCGGATGTTTGTTGAATTACCTGAAAAAGAGAAACCTGAGAAAAACAGTATTGGAGAGAAGCTATGTCTGTCAAAGGAAACCCTGGGCATATGATTAGAATGGCTTGGGTATATTTTTGCCTGGAAAAAGAGATCTTTCAAAATCTCTTCTAGTCAAAAATTGAGAACCCAACATGTGCTATCAAGATTGGACTGAAAAGTAAGATTAGGTGTTGTCCAAACCCAACATGAGAGTCTCATTCATAATGCCACCATTGCCCATGAAGCAAGGGAATTGTATCAGAAGAATAAAAATTTTACCACTTAGCAATTACATTTTTGTTTTCTTTTCCTTTCTTTTTTTCCTTTTCTTTTCTCTTTCCTTTTTTCTTTTCCTTTTGTCAGAGAGCACATATGCTTGCTAAAGAGAGACAGAGAGAGAAGGAGAGGGAGAAAACAACCCCTGGTCACACACAATCCCTTTTCCATTTCTCCATTCTGTCTGGATTTGGAGCACGCACACATACATATTCAGTGTGTTTTGGGGACATGCAGACATACACATTCAGTTCACATACACATTTCAAGCCCTTGCGACAGGATTTGGACTACTCTTGGCCATGTGGGATCCAGTACCCTTAACCACTAGGCTATGGGAACAGCCCACCTTTTTCTTTTTCTTTCTTTCCCTTCCTTCTTCCCTCCCTCCTTCCTTCCCTTCCTTCCTCCTTTTTTCATTCCTTCTTTTCTTCCTCTCTTTCTCTCTCTTTCTTCCCCTTTTCTTTTCCTTTCCTTTCTTTCCTTCCTTCTTTTTTTCTTTCTTTTTAATTGTCAGAGGACACATGCACTCACCAGAGAGAGAGAAAGAGAAAGAAAGAGAAAGAGCAAGAGAGAGAAAGCACCGCTTCATGTAGAATGGTCATGCTGCAAACCTTTCTTTCATTCTTCCATCCCATCAGGATTTTAGGCACACATGCCCTTAGAATGTTTTTCAAACCTATAGGGGTCAGGTTGCAAACTTCAGTCTGCCATGTGGCTGTCCCAATGCACAGTGTTTAACCACAGTGCTATGGAGTCAGCCCTACAATTATATTTTTCTATATCAAACTCCCAGAAACATCCAGGAAATATTGATGAAATTGGAAGTTGTAGAAATAGTTCTTCCTAAAATAAAACAGGAATGAAACCAACATAGTGTGATCCCAAGAGAGCAGCTGAACAAGAGGTAAGTTAAGGCAGGAAAGGTGAGATGAAAGGAAAGCTACAGATTATTAATTTATGGAAAGGTCAGCACTGATAACTGAAAAAGAGCAGACTTGTTTGTGGTAGAGCAAAGCCCCAGCCCTGTGGTGGCCATGGGGAAGTTTAGGGGTGATCCAAGTTTATATCGTCGCTGTAAGGACAGAAAACAGATTTCTTTCTTTCTCTCTTTCTTTCTTTTCCTTTTTTTTTTTTTTTTTAAGAGAGATTTTTGCTATAAGGCACATGCACTTGCCAGAGAG